CTCCCACCGAGTGTATCAGGTCAAGTTTAGTTATAATTACTAAATAAAAATGTGTTCTGCACTATCTTTAAAATATTGATTTTTTAAATTTTGGGCTGGAAAAGTGGGGGGCGTCTTGTACATGGGGGGCATCTTATTGACGGAAAAATACGGTACCGTTCAGAAGACACAGCAAAACGAAAAGGCGGCTGAAAGAGTTGTTTTGCATTTAAGATAACGCGCTTGTTGAAGTTAGAATGTATTATTTGTTTCTGAGGATGTGGTGGTTCTGTGGAATCTCACCCAAAGATATATTTTTCTCATAGTTCAATCCTTTAAAATCAATATTTCGAAGGCAAAAGGCCCTGCCTGAAAAATCCATCACACTAAGAGTTACCAGAATTGTTGGATTTCACAGTAGTTTATTTTAGATTGGCTTTGAAGGTAGGCTTTATTTTAAATATTTTAAAAATAAAACAGCAATCATAGGCGCGTTAGGCTTCAAACTGTCCAAGCATATACTTGGTGTTCTTTCTGAATGATAAAATGCCGACATGAATGCCCATTTTTTTCACAAGTTTTTGTTGTTCTTGTTGTTCCTTTCCACAAACTCATCCACAGAAGCAACCCCACTAAATTATAATGGCTCAATACATTATAATGAAAACAGAAAATGCAGTTTCTGCAACTGAACATAGGCAGTTTGGAGAGCTAAAAAAAAATAAACTGGCAACTACAAGGAGATTACTCCAATTATGAAATGGCTGCCATAGTAGTTACATCCTATCCTAAAATCTTTCTTTACCATAAAATTACTCCCTACCACGCGCTGAAGCCCCTCAAGATATTGACTATCTATCTGTTAATATTACTCACCATATTTATTTGCTGTTATTTCCATTATTTTAGATTAATCTAAACTGTATTTCACTTTTTAATACTTCATTTTGCTTTTTACAAAGATCTGTGGGGGCACACTTCAACACAGCAGCTTCCTATTTCATCGGGTTTAGCATTAAAGCCACTTTTAAACAATTTAAAAAGCAGAATAAGCAGGTGCCAAGGGAGATGTTTCCAGCTGTAGGGATCACACCCACATGTGGGTTATACGTGTGTGTAGATATACGCACGCAGGCACACGCACAAACAGGACTCCATTCGTTAACTACAGCTCGCTATTACAGCCCAGCGAACTTACTGGCGCTTTCTTCCTCTGTGGGATTAACTACGTCAAGCTCCATCTGTGGGAAGGGCTCCTTGAGAACTGGGAGATCAACTACGGCTGCCTGCTCGGGCACACGCTTGAAATTCAGGCTTCGCGAAACCCGCTTCGGAGTCACACTGGCATCACCGCGAAGGATGCGATGCAGCTGCTTGTAAAAAGGGCAAGTCACCTTGTTGTTCCCGGCCCTGGAATTGTGGCCAATCACTCGCTTATATTCCAGCCGCATGACTTTGGTCTTAGACCGGCACTCCACTGCGGTGCGGCGGTGGCCGCGGGCAGCCATCTCTTGGGCAATGTATTCAAAGAAGTCTATATTGCGGTGGCTGCTGCGGAGCTGGTCCTGGATCTTCTGCTCCCCCCAGATTTCCAACAAGTCTAAGGTCTCCTTGTGCCGCCATGAAACGCCCCGTCCCTTCCGGCCATGGCTGGAGCCTGCCCCGCCATTATCAGCCATCTGGAAAAATAAAGTGGGGGGGGAGACAATAAAAATGCTAATATATACAATATGGGGGGTATGTGGGCTGTGGTCAAAAAAGACAAATTGGAGGCCGAGGTAGCAGGGTCGAAATTCGGCCAGTTTTTTATGTGCAGCACATGTGCGATACACATAAAAAACAGGCAGAGCTTCCATCCCACCATCCCAGTTGCCACCTTGATTTTTTTTACCATATACTGTGGATATCCCTGATATGTATCCACAAATGGGGAGATATTAAATTGGTACTCAGAATGAACATGCACCATTGAGTCAGAACTAAGCCCATCACCTTTTCATCTCCAGTTCACTACAGATGACCACAGGATGCATTTTTGCTTCTACACAGTAGACAATCCTCGCAAATGTTCAAGTCCCTTGGTTACAGGGGCATCAAACCAGGTCTAGAACCCTATTACAATCCAAGGTTATCTGAACAAATTGTGCATGTTCTTAGTGCTCTCTTCTCACACCACTCAGATCAAGTAGCAACACCATCTTGCAAAAAAGAGAGTTTTGTGGCCACTTAGAAACACAGGAGATCTTTATACTGGAGCCACTCATTCATTTGGGTCAACACACTGGTCTCAACAGCTAGGCATTCTCCAGGGCTTCAGACCAGAATGTCCTAAATGCGATATTGGGGATTGAACCCCAAAGCTTCTGCACACAGAGCATGTGCTTTAACACTGAGCCATGACCCATTCACTTTTAAATGTGCGCATGTGTCCAATGACACCCAAGATGTGTGATAGCCTTCCCTAGCGTGGCGTCATGTGTTTATTTGCACTCCCATTTCTGTCACTCCTCACTGACCCTGTTGGCTTAAACTCACAGCACTGTAGCTCAAAACATCTTCAGGACACCATGGTGGGGGGAGATGGGTGGACTTTAGGATTGCTTCTTATTGCCAGAAAGTCTTTTTTAAGGTTCTCTTTCTTGGAAGCCAAGAGTATGTGAAAAAGGCCACTGCTTTGTAAATCTATTGGTGTGTCTGTCTTTCAGTCCTTGCACACTTCAGAGCCTTGATCGGCAAGGGAGATCAGTTTAAGGAAAGGATGGAGTGTATGAAGGAAGATCCCTCCAAATGCATTTTCAGCCAGTTCTCTGTTCTGCTGTTTGTCATGTGAGATGACCTGATCTGGTGGGGAGCAAAAACATCCATGATTTATATATCTGTGCATGTGCATAAACACACATGTAATTGAGGGCTGCAAGCTCCAGTTACTCATTCTTGCCTTACATACCACTGATAGGCACTTAAACAGTCATGAACTTCTACCAGACCACACAATATGCAACACTTCTTATTACTCATGGAAACAGAGAGCTGGAAAGACCTTACTGGTCATGTAGTCCAACTCCCCACTTCTGGAGAATAAAGAAGATGACCTGGATGGAGATAAACCACATTGGTTCCCAGAGCAATGAGGTGAAAAGTGCAACTCAAGCCCAAAACAATCCGAGGGAAGGAGGAAACGGTTCAGATAAAGAGCTCCTTAGTTCCACAAGAGTATGGGGGGGGGGGGGAATTAAAGCACAATCAGACTTGCAAGATTCTCTTACTATAACCAATATAACAAAGCAGTTTTAACCTTCCTTTGGACTTACTTTCTTGGTCTGGTATACAGAGTGGGGATGACATCAATCCAACTAAGGAGGTGTCTAAGCCATTCCCTCCTCCTCTCAGATTGTTTTGGGCTTGACTTCTGCTTCTCACCTTGGCATTCTGGGAATGAATCTGGCTTATCTCCATCCAGGTCATCTTCTTTACTCTCTACACTGCTTAGTATGGGGTCCACTGAAACATATCTGACAGACAGCCATCCAGTCTTTATTTGAAGACTTCACGTAGCATACTGTTCCACTGGACAATGGGTTGTACAGTTAGAAGTTTCTCCTGATGTCTAACCTCAACCAACTTCCTTTTAGCTTTAACCCATTGGTTCTGGGCCTATCCTCTGGGACAAAGAATAAATCCACTTCCTCTACCGCATGACAACATTTAACTCCTCAAATAAAATCTTCACTGTTACAGGTAGGCCTTGAGTTACGACGATTTGTTCGGCGAACGTTCAAAGTTACGGCAGTGCTGAACAAAGGGATTTACAACTTGTGCAGTGCCCCCACAGTCACATGATCAAAATTCACTTAAGACTGCAGGGGTGCTCCCCTCACCTATCTCCCCCCACATCTATGACCTTTTGGCCCCCTTCACTCCACAGCTCCTGCTGCCCCAGCTGACCTTCGCCATCTTCTTGCTTCCACTGCTGACCAAGCATGCCCAGGTTGATCCTTTGTGAGGCAGCTGCTGGCTACACGAGGCTTTCTTCTCAAGATCGTGCACACAGTTTCCTTGTGAGACCTGGGGAAGATGGCCTCACATGGCCAGCAGCTGCCTCACAAAGGGCCAGGGTGGGCTTGTCTCATCAGCAGCGGGAGTAAGAAGACAGCGAAGGTCAGCTGGGGGAGTGGAATGCACGGCAGCAGAGGCCTCAGTGTGGCAAGCAGCTCCAGAGCTACACAGTTTTGGGGCTGCTTGCCACCCTACAAGGCAGGATGCAGAGCAGCCAAAAAGGCAAAGATTGGGGAGGTAGTCCCTTACCTTACCGAAGCTAGGGGCTGGGAGGGACCAAGTCCAGAACAGCTTGGACTGGGGTGGGTCCTTGGTCCCAGTGGAATTTGCTTAAGGACGGCAACAGGAAGTGCCAGGATTGCCATCACTAAGTAATGCAGTCACGTGACATCGTGCTTTACAACTGCATCACTTAGCAATGGAAATTTGGGTCCCAATTGTGGTCGTAAGTTGAGGACTACGGTGAGTGAGAAAGCGGCTCCAACAAAGTGCTATTGCTATGAACTGAATACACACGAGACTATACGCAATTGTTCCCAGGTTACCTGAGAATTTACTGGAGCATCCTGGGTTCTGCTTTTTGGTGACAGCAGAGCCAACTGGGGATCTGAACACAGTAGTTCAACACTCCCAGGGCAAGTTGGCACGAGCTTGGGGAAGTTGCCACGAGTATGTGACGGATCACTGAGAAAATACGAAAGGGATGGAATGCTGACATCACACAGGCTATGCAGCCACCCAGTGGGAGAACTTCCTACCTTATACTCTTGCGAAGCCTTGTCTGTGGGAAACTCATTCTGTTCCCAGGGCTCCTGAGACCCATCATGCACCAAGCCAATGAGAACTTCATCTTCCTTGCCTAAGGGGGACCCCTGGCGTTTCTCGCCCATGGCCCCTTCCTCTTCTATCTTGATCCCTTCCTCAAGCTTTACAACACTTCCCAGTTGCCACCTGGGCCTGAAACTCTTTGGCCGGATCACTTCGGTACACTGAGGACAGGCATCGTTGTCAGATTCCCTCCAAAATTCAGCCAAGCACGCTTCACAGAAACTGTGCCCACATGCCCCGATCATCACTTGGTTTTTGAAGTAGCCCATGCAGAGGGGGCATGCTGTTTCATTGGAGAGCTCCTTGATCAGCGCTCCAGATGCCATAGCTGGTTCTCCCTAAAGAAGAAGAAAAAGAGGTTCACTTTGTTTCCCGTTTGGCATTTCCTTGGTAGGAACTGCCTTAAGAGGGCATCGGTCAGCCTTTCCTAAACTGATGCCCGCCCCTGAACTTTTGGAACATCTATCATCCTTTCTTTTAATTGCATTTTTTTTCAGTTGAAACCAGCAAAACATCAAGATGAAAACTAGAAAATGCAGGGAAAAAAAAGAAAACAAAAAATAAAAACAAATGTAGAAAAAAAACATCCAAGCATATGTTTGTGTGAGTGTGTATCTATGAATAAATATATTGCGAGTGTGTATCTATGAATAAATATGTGATCTTAAGGAGACATACAGAAGTTCTAAGGTAGGTCTCACTCAAATTCAGCTCAATGGTAGTAACTTTATGGGCAGATCCATGTAGTAGTTTTTTGGACAACTACTGTCAATTTTTTGCCTTCTTTTGGGATTGGAGGGGACAGGGGTGAGTTTCCATGTTTGTTACTAACTGGCAGCATCATGAGAAGCATCCAGAGAAGTGTCTTCTGTAGTCCTCCTGGGAGCTGCTAAGATCTGAACTTGGGGCTCCGCATGTAGCACGCAAAGGCATTTTAAAAACAGCAGAAAAGGAAGGGAGCCAATTCTGCAGAGTGAGAAAATCCTTTTCCCCAGCTTTAAATAAATTGGACCATAGAGTCTCTTGGCTTCCTTATAAACTTCCTGTGATTCACAAGCGGGGGGGGGGGGGTAACAGCTAATATTGGATCTTCCAAAGAGATTCTTCCAGGAAAAACTGCCTGAAGTTCCCCAATTCTGTGAAGCAAGACGGGCTGACACCTGAATACACTGCTTTTCAGTCACAGCACTGGTAGTCTCTGGTGTCACCTCCCTCTAGATGCCTTCCTGAAGTTAATGAAAACCAAACTGTTCTGGAGGCCCTTTGGGGAACAATTGCTGCTCTCCTCTCAATGCCTAGACCACTATTTCTCAACCACGCTGGCTGGGGAATTCTAGGAACTGAAGTCCACACATCTTAAAGTTCCCATGGTTGAGAAATATTGGTCTAGAAGGAAAGCCAGCATTTAACCTGGTTCATCCAGGAATGCTGGGACTATATCCCATCAACCCTTCAGCAAAACTAGGGTGATGGGCATTGTAGTCCAGCCATCATAGATGGTATAAAACTGGGAAAGCTTGGCTCAGAATCCAAGCCTTTCCCAGCTCTCCGTCTTGCTGGGAGCACATTTTATTGTTCTTTTTTACACGCATTGTGTTCCTCTTCCACTGATCTGTAGGGCCACTTTCAAAGCCCTGATTTACAGCATCAAACAGCATCCCCAGCTGCTGCTGTAGAGGCAGAGAAACCACGTATGGAGACAGGCTTTACAGTGGGGCAAAAAAGTATTTAGTCAGCCACCAATTGTGCAAGTTCTCCCACTTAAAAAGATGAGAGAGGCCTGTAATTTTCATCATAGGTATACCTCAACTATGAGAGAC